CTACCATCGTCTGTAATAGCTCAAAATAACCTAAGAAGCCCACAGCCTACTGCAGTCTCACCTCAGTACTTAGGCACTGAATAGCGTTAAAGGAGGCAGGAGAAGTCCCCAAAGATGATGTCCACTCAGGAGTGCCGCCAGCTTTTTTGCCGCACTAGACGGCAGAAGGTCCCGCTCCCGAAATGCCGCCCCCGACAGAGGTGGCGGAAGGTCCCACCCCCGAAATACCACTGACGACTGGGCCGGCTGCTGCAGTCACTGCCCCCCAAATGTTAGCGCCCTAGGCGACTGCCTAGGTCGCCTAATGGGTTGCGCTGGCCCTGTGTCCACTCTCAGTCCTGCAGGGCTCCAGTCCACTGTGTCTCTGCACCCCATACTCCTTGTACCTGAGGTTTTAAGGCTTCTACTTTTTAAAGATTTCTGCTGTGCCCTGTTTGGGGAGGGGGGAAGGGATTGGTGGGGGAGGGAAAGGATTTCTCACCTCTTCCCATCAGTGTTGCCTCATTCCCCATCTTCCTCATTTTACCTCCTGCCTCCTTCCCTCCATGTCACACCAGGCCCTATTTTACAAATGTCTGGGGGGGGGCATAGGTGGATGCTCAGACCTGGGGAGCACATATCTCAGCTTAACCTAGCATTTGCTGGTCAAACTCTGCTTTTAAAAAAAAAAAAAAAAAAAAAATCCCACCCAGATGTTTTGCTAATCAATAACTGGCTAAAATACCAACAATATTTGCGCTAACTGTGCGTGTGTTCTCTCTCTTCAGTGGCCAGCAAACTGAAGCGCTGGCTCTAAGAACTCTTCTGGTCAGTAAACATCTCTTGTTGCGTAATCCTCCCTATGTGGGTCTTTAACACTGTGCCTCTCTCGTTCCCTGCGCAGGCATTCAAATCCAGAGTGCAGGAAGCACAGCAAGGGAGCTTGGTGTTCTTGGCTCAATTCATAGTTTCCCAACATGCACATCCCAGAATTGACCCAGTTTTGCATGGGGGCTGGATGGCCTTGCGGTTAAGGCACCAGACTGGCACTTGAGAGATTTGGGTTCAAGTCTCAGGTCTGCCATAGATTTCTTATGTGATGTTGGGCATGTCACTTAACCACTGGTTTTCCCCATCAGTAAAATAGGCCTAATATACCTGTCCCTTACAGGGGTATTTGGGGGCACTTAGATTCTATGGTGATGGTTATGTTATAATAACCTAAATAGAATACCGATAACCTTCTAGGTTAGGATTGTATGATGTGGTTCTCAACCAGGGGTCTGGGGGGCCATGAGCAGGTTTCAGGGGGTCCCCCAAAATAAACCAGAAAGCAGGGCTGGCATTAGTCACCAGGGCCCAGGGAAGAAAGCCGAAGCCTGAGCCCCACAGCCTAGGGCCAAAGCTGAAGCCTGAACTCTGCTGCAGGGGGATGAAGCCAACTTAGCTTTGCAGAGCCCCCTGTGGCATAGGGGTGTGGACAATTGCCCTGCTTGCTACCCCCTAATGCTGGCCCTGGCTTTTAATCTACTGGATATGCAGAAAAACACTTTGTGGCAGGGGTGGGCCACCAAGTTTTTGGGGGGGGGGGGGGGGGGGCGGGCTCAGAAGGAAAAAGGTTGAGCACCCCTGATATATAGCACTACCCCCTAATGCTACCAACTTTAGATAGGCAGGGATAGAATGGGAGTGGGGATAAGAGAAGATTGGGTAGGTGTGGCTGATTCATACTGGACTGAGATCAAAAGTGAAGCCACTCACTGAATACTGGTCTCAGACCGAGCAGAACAAAGGGTTGATAATGCTGAAACCTGCTTCACTGATGGGAGCTCAGACTGTCTGTTCTGCTCTGTTACAGCCTAACAGCTTCCAAATTCCACTTAAAAATGGGAACCTCTTTATTTATAAATATTCAATGATGTTCAAGGGCCTAATCCTGCACCCACTGAAGTCACTGGCAAAGGTCCTATTGACTCAATGGTGTGGAATTGGCTTCCGAATGCTTTTAACTATGAAAGAGTGGTGTGTGTATATGTGCTAAGTGGCTTTTCATTTCCTGGTTTCAATGGGGAACGTCACAATACCTCAGGGCTCTGACGATGTGATTGCTTGTTTCTTATTAGCAAATTGTAATCCTTTTTATTCCACGCCAAATGTTTTCCCTCCTGCAGCTGGAGAGGGGGATGGCACTGGAATTTAAGCTGATTTTTAACTTGGTCTCTGCCTTCCTCCTCTTCAAATCGAACAAACAGTTCCTGAATGAAGCTGAAGCTCTATTTTATGAGAGTCCTTCGCGCCCCCCCCACGTACAGCTTCATTCCTGACTTTGTCCCCTCTCCCTCTGTCTCTGAGAGTACCTCTTATTCTGCATGTAAGGCAAAGGCTCTTGTTTCCCCAGCTCTGCTAGAAGAGGCTTGTCAGGGTGGCAATTTGTGCATGCAAACAGCAGCCTGGTTTTTGGTTTGGCTCAGGCTGGTGTCTATACCCGCTTTGCCTCTGTTCCCATCACTCTCTCTTTTAGCAGAGCTTTGATGCTCCTCCCAAACAGGGCTGCTTGAGACCGCTCAGCAGAATCAGCTGTTCCTTCCTTCTGCAGGGAGATGGCTGCGTCCCTCTCCAGTGCCAACTAGGTCACTGGGCTACAGTTGAAGCAGGCTGCCTAATCCCTGCTTCCCATTGGGTCCTTCTCCAGAGCAGTTCAAGTTAGTTGGGGTGGAACCGCTCTGCAGGGAAAGTTGTCACTAGGTCACACTGTCGGACTGTAACAGCGCTCAGTAAATCAAATCCTAGACCATGGCTCCTTCCCCAGCTGAACCTTTTCTAAATGTTCCCTTCTAGGCTTGAAACTGTGGAAGGATTTTTAATCACAACTCCCCCTCCTCTACTAAAAGTAGAGGGAGACCACTCCTTGGCTTGACTGAGCAGTGCTCCCCAACTCACCCCACGACTTCTGTGGGGAGCACTCCTCCTTCTGTTTCAGTCTAATTTAGCCACTGGTTTAATGTCTCTGCTAGAGCTGTGCCCTGCAAACTGGGATATGGAGCCTTTCCTTTCTAGACCCCTCATTCAAGTACTGACCCTAGGCTGGAGTGTCTGTTTCCTCGCCTTCCTGGTGACATGGGTTGATGGTAACATACAAAGTCTTGGTGGCCAGCTGACCTCTGCCCCTCTGGAGAGGCTGAATCTCCAATCTGTGGAAGGGGGAGCAAGGTGATCTAGTAAATCTAGAGAGGTGGGGTCTGAGCAGAGCCCTAGGAGCAAGGGCTTACTGTGTATGAATCCCAGCTTTGCCATGAGCACTCACACTCTCTCTCTTCCCCCCCCCCCTCCCCCCCCCCCCCCCAATGTCTTAGGCAATCACTTGGCCCCGAACTTTTCTGCTAATTTTAGGTACCTCAGTCATTTAGGTGCCTGACCTGAAAGCCCTAGGACTTGATCTACAGAGGTGCAGAACACATGCACTCTGAAAATTGAGGCCCGAGTGTCTCTGGTTGGGCACCTAAATAACTGAGGTATACCAGTTTAAAAGATCTTTTGGAAAGTGTTGGCCTATACCTCCCTGCCTCAGTTTTCCCATCTGAGATGTGGGTGGTGCTCACAGAGTTGTGAGGATAATGGTTAGAAAGCACTCACTGTTTCTATTAGTAGCAGAACGGTTCATTCCAAGCTAGGAAATTTTCCCTCAAAAGGCATTTCCTTGTAGGTCTATCCATGGGCATAAGCAGGGATGGTCCAGCTGCTGGCTTCAATAAAGATGCACCTGCCAGACCTACCTTTGGCTAGTAAAGGGCCATACTGGAAAGCTGAGGGACTAGGTAAACTGTGGAGCTTATTCCCACATGTCAGGCTAACAGAAACCAGATGAATGAGACAATGGCTCTTTAAAAATAAGGGGAATTCACCCCCAGTCTGGGGGAGGGGAATGCAATTAACTGAGGTGACCTTTGTGTAACACTGATCCTATCCCCAAGACTTGGCTTGTCAGGTGCCAGTTAACAAACCACAGCAGGAAACCTGCAAGTAGAGCTGGTCCAGAATTTTTTGCCCAGGATTTCTTTTAAAGAGAAAATGCAAGTTCTGCAAAATGAAAGTTTCAAATTGAAACCTCCCATAAGAATTTCCATTTTTGACTAAACTAACCCCCCTCCCACCCGTCGGGGGTGGGGGTGGGAGTGAAGAAAATGTTTCAGGTTGATTTCACCTGAATAGGAACATTTCAGTTTGAATTGAACCAAGCTATTTCCCATGATTCACTGCAACTTCCCCTCTGACCAAGTCACATGGTACATCATGGGAGATATAGTGCAGCCAAGGATCCTAGTCAGTAAGGGAGAAAGGGGACAAGGGACACCAGAATTACAAATTCTGTAAGGCACCATTGCCTCTTACATGGATGCTGTGTCAAACTGATTCGGAATGTTTTGATACTTCCGAAATAAAACTTTGTAAAGAAATTTTTCTTTCCATTAAAAATAACCTTGATTTCAAATTTTTGTCCCAATCAGGAATGAAAACAAGTGTTGAAATATCAATTTCCCACAGGACTGAAATGCCAAATTTCACTCTGCTCTACCTGCAGGAATGTATGGGATGGCAGTAAAGTTGGGCCAGTAGGGATGATGGAGGGGATGGATGAGCAGGGTCTGATCATAGATGTGTGTTGTCTTAAGGACTGGCCTCTTGGGTTGACTCAGTCTGTGCTAAGGGGATAATGCACCGGTGCAACCAGGCAGTGCAGTATATAGAGGTGGGGTGGGATGGAAATATTTCTAATCTCAAGGCAGATCACCTGATGCTCTGAAGAATGAGTCTCATTTACCTCTGTCTTAAGCTGCATAATTACAGATGTTGTTAATGGTCATAAAACTAACCGATCTGGCTCCAGTATCTGTCTCCGTGATCTCCCATCACACAAGGTGACTGTCCACTGTGTGAGGTTTTTCCTTTCCCTGGTTCTAAGACTACCCACCTTGAGTTTCATGGTGCATCTTTTAACTCTTTGCTGTCTATCTTGGTTGTAGGTGAGGCAGGCGCTAATATCATTCAGGTCTCAAAAGAAGCCCGGAAGAGGTTCCTGGGCCCTCTACACCCATCCTTCAACTTGGTGAAAATCATCCGCAGCTGCCTGGACAAGACCCTGCCGGACAATGGGCACGAAGTGGCTAGAGGACGCTTGGGCATCTCGCTGACGCGGGTCTCTGATGGAGAGAATGTGATACTGTCAGAGTTCAATTCCAAAGAGGAGCTGATTCAGGTGAGTGGGGAAATTATCACCTGAGTGGTGGAATGGGGATGTCTGCAGGCTCCCTCCTCTGTCAGAGAATTGCTGAGGGGTTGGTCTTTGTTCCAAAATTCTTCACGTTAGAGCATAACCACAGCCAAGACACTCTGAACAGGTTGCTGGTGGTCGACAGACCACCTCTCTTCAGGTAATCCAGCAGGTGGCTGAGCCACTAGAAGAACTGAGCCAGTCTTCCCAGGGAATTGCTCTCTTAAGGTTCTGGCTTTTTTACAAAAATATTTCCTATCTCTTATGCTGGGTTTGTGATCTCTCTCTTTCAGGCCTGTGTTTGCAGCACCTTCATCCCTGTGTACTGTGGGTTGATCCCGCCAAGCCTGCAGGGAGTGGTAAGTAGTCCTCATAACATTCCCCTTGTCTGGAGTTGTGTGCAAAACAGTGAAACATCTAGAAATCGCCATTATGGATCATGCTGATAGTCCATCTAGTCCTGAATCCAGCAGTGTCTGGTAACATACTTAAAAGAGAGGTGCAAGTAACCCTGAGATCAATAATTTATGGAATACATTGCCCACAATGAGTGACTGGCTTATGCCCTGAAGCCTGAAGGTTTGTATTTCTTAAATATGTTTTTAGTGCTACCTACAGCTGGCTGATAATGTTCCATCAGTCCTTTTTTCAATGGGTTTTTGACAAAACAAAACTTTTCAGAAAGTATTTTCTTACCTTGAAAACAAACTTCCACTGAAAACAAGAGGGGAAAATTTCAGCCAAGAAGTTTTTGCTTGCCTGGGGACCATGTTTAAGTTTTTTTTCAGAATTTTCTATTGAAAATTCTGTTGAAAAGAATCATAGAAACTTTCCATGGAACACTTGCTGACCAGCTCTAATCCTTTCAACTGTTACTGTGGTTATCTTCATTATCCATACAAGTATCTAATCCCTTTTGAATCCTACTAAGCCCTTGACCACAGTGATGTCTTATGGTAGGGAGTTCTGCAGGCTAATTATGCACTGGGAAATCATTTTTTCTCTGTCAGGTGGAAATATTTTGCCTTTCACTTTCATTGGGAGCCACTTGCTGTTGTATTATGAGAGAAGGAAACTAGGAGTACCTTATTTTACCTCCTCTCTGTCATTTTTATTTTTTTTTATTTTGTATACCTCTTTCATGTCTCTTTTCTAAAATAGACACTCAGTCTGTCCTCTTGGAAATCTCCGCCTTTAACTATTTCTCACCCTTCTAAAAATGCCTTTCTGCTATAGCCTTCCTGAGATACGGTGACTGGAACCGAACAGGGTACTCCAGATGAGGGTATGGCATTAACTTGTATCAGGATTTCACATTTTCATTATCTTCTACTGAATTCTTTATGCACTTTGTTGCTTTGACAGCCACTACACATTTGGCAGAGATTTGCATGGAGCAGCCCACCAGGATAATCGGGCGTCTTCTCTGAGTGGCTACAGTTAATTTGGAACACATTTAATACGTACCAGCCGTTCAAATGGTTCCTTCCAATGTGCATTACCCCTGCGTTTGTCAACACTGAATTTCCTCTGCCATAGGGCTGCCCCATCACCTTGCTTGCTTTGGCTCTTCCTCCTGAAGTTCCTCACAACTTCCTCTAGTCTTACTTTACCCATCTGCAAATTTTCCCATATCGTTTCTCTCCCCTTTTTCAGGCCATTAACAAATCTATTAAACACAGATTCCAGTACAGGCCCTTCGGGGAATCCCATATTGAACATGAGAGTTGAGTCTTGCTCTTTGTGTTCAGGTTCTTAGCCAGTTACTAATCCATGGCTGTACTTTGCCTCTCATCTCATGACTACTTATGTCGCCATAATAGCCCCTTGTGAGCGACTTTGTCAAGGGCTTTTTTGAAAGTCCAAATTGTCAACCAATTCTATTTTTTATCCATTATTTTGATGACCTGCTCAAATAGTCCATTGGATTGGAGAGGCGTGACCTGTTCCTTTATGGAACAGGGTTGATATCTATCATAACATGTTTCTCCAACACTCTGATCATTCATTCTTTTAAATCCTTCCAGTTAAAATTTCCTGTTACTGGTCAAAGCCTGCCTTCAGGAATTCCTACAGTCACTCTGGCCATTTTATTTTATTTATTTTAAAAGATGGGTACAATATTTACTACAGACCTGTCTTTTAATTGCTAGCTGCTTAATCAGTGTGCTCTGAAATTGCATCAGAGCTCTTGCGTGTAAGCCATCTGGGGCTGGTGACTTGTTGCTTTATCATCAACTTTTTCTTCTCAACACCAGAATTTCAGATAATGCATCTTTACTGTCTGAGAAGAGTAGGTAGGCATCTCCCCATCCTCCTCTGGTGGAGATTGGTGCTAAGAAATCCAATGAGTCTCTCCACAGCATCTGCATCCTCCCATAATTATTTTGTTTACTTCCTATCCCCGTCCCACCTATCGTGTCACAGGAAACCCATTTATGTCTCTTGTATCTGTCTATTTGCACTTCACATTTTCTCTTGGCCCTCCTAATTTTCTCCTTGCACATCAATTTGTTGGCTTCACATGAGTTGGGTTTCCATTTTCTCAATGTCTTGGCTCAGACCAGTATGATTAAATGGAATGTTTATTTGTTGCCTTCTTGCTTCCTTTCATCTGTAGGGAGTATGCATTCCTCTCATGACTCAGACATGGGATGCATAAGTAGCCTCTGAACTGAGGCTAAGGATTTTCATTGCCTCACATTTGACTTCAGTGTGGTGGTTTTTTGTGTTTAAACCCTACTTTCTTATTTTTATTTTTAGAATCCCCTCCTGTTGTCTTGGCACGCTACATAACATTAAGAATATTAGGGGAAACTACACAGATGCAATTGGGTTCCAAATGACTGTGTATATCTATATTTAAACATGCAAAGCCTTGCTACACATGTTATTCCTGAGGGCATGCTGCGCCTAAAAATTCTGCCCCCAATATTTTAAAATGCTGCAAAATTCAGTAAATTTTTATTTGTCAAATGTGGAAACTCCAGCATGGCATCGGGAAACACAGGCTACTGGTTTCACAGAGGTGGGAGATTACTGTGCAGCTCCCCCCCCCCCCCCCCCCCCCCCCCCCCCCCGACTCGACACAGCGCAAGGACCAGGCCTGCCCCAGAAACACCCCGGGGCCCTGCTCCTCCATGCTAGGTGCACCAGGTGTGGGCAGGCAGGCTCAGTAAGGCAGGATCCAAGTGTGGAGTGGCTTAGTGTGGGGGGTACAGGTGTAGGTTAAGAGCATTCTGGGTGGGGGATCCAGGTGTGTGGCAGGGGAGGGGGAATCTGGATGCACAAGGGCATGTTGGGGGTTCTGGGTACAACAGTAATGGGACTCTGCAGGGGGGTCCAGGTGAAGGTGGTTAGGGCTCAGTAGGGGGGGGAATCTAGGGGTGTGTCCAGATGCTGGAGGGGTGGGGATCTAGGTGCAGGGGGCTTGTCAAGGGGGGCTCTGGGTGCAGTAGGGGGTGAGGCTCAGCGGGAGGGTCTGGGTATGAGGGGGTCTAGGTGCACAGGGGTTGAGTGGATGCAGGAGCAGCTCCCTGTACAGTGATCCCTCCCCCTGCAGCTGAGGAGCAATGGGTGCAGGAAGCAAAGAAATCATTCTGCTGCAGGGAAGCAAAGAAATCTGTGGGGGACATAAATTCTGTGCATTTGCAGTGGCGCAGAATTCCCCCAAGAGTAACATGTACACTGCTGCACTATTGTTCTGGTGGCCTCTGCAATAGAAAACAGGGAGGTCTGCTAACGGGCTCCCAAACCTTTTAAAGAGATACTACCCAGTTCCTATACACTTCACTTCACCTCCCCTCTAAATTGTAATGTCCAATACTAGTCTCTGGTACAATCC